TCCATGTCTTCAAACCTGTGCTGAGCCCACCCTGGTTGGTGTGGCTCAGTGGATGGAGCGTCCTCCAGAGCACCAGGAGGCTGCTGGTTCTGTTCCCAGAGGGGGCACTGCCCCCTGCAGCTGGATCCCTGTTGCTGGATCCAGGATGTGCAGGAGGCAGCCTGGTGAAGCACACCCATGTTTCTCTCTCTCCCTTCCTCTCTCTCTAAAAATCAGTTAAAAAATATGCTTAAGCCCTGACTGGTTTGGCTCAGTGGATAGAGCGTTGGCTTAAGGACTGAAGGGTCCCAGGTTCGATTCTGGTCAAGGGCATGTACCTTGGTTGTGGGCACATCCCCAGTTGGGGATGTGCAGGAGGCAGCTGAATCGATGTTTCTAACTATCCCTCTCCTTTCCTCTCTGTAAAAAAAAAAAAAACAAAAAAAAAATTTAAATTAAAAATAAATAAATAAATAAAGATATATATATATATGTGTGTGTGTGTGTGTGTGTGTGTGTGTTGGACTATAGCAGTGTTTCCCAAAGTGTGGCACGCGTACCCCCAGGGGTACAGGAAGAGTTTGGTGGGGGTACGCGTTGCACCTGAGTTTGGTGGGGATATGCACTGCACCGTGCTTAGCTGCGCCTAATTCTACGTTCTCATGAGTACGAGGGGTACTCAGCCTTATGAAAATTACAGAAGGGGTACACATATGTCAAAAGTTTGGGAAAGACTGGGCTAGAGGTTAAACTTTCCCACTTAATGCTCAAACAATGCGAAGAAGGGGGTGGAATGACCCCTGTTTACAAACCGGGGCTACAGCGGTTATGTTCTCACAGCTCCTGAGTGATGACCCTGGTGGGGCTTCCGAAGGGAACAGAAGGTGAAGCAGAGCAGGAAGTCAGGGACAGAGGGGGGTGGGGGCGGGGGAGGGGACAGGAAAGGCTGTCCCTGGAGGGCCTGATGTGTGTTGGGGCTTCTGCTCATTACTCATCCTCCTCCATCCCTTGGGGCCTGACCCAGGCCCAGTTGACATCCATCTCTGAGCTCTTTCTCTGGAGAGTCTGGTGAAAACGCTGCCTCCCAGGGAGAGGGAGGGGGGATGTGGGTGGGGAGGGGGCGACAAAAAGCCATCCCTGGGGCCGGTGGGGCGGTGGGCGCCAGCACAGGACTGTAAAAACTGCGCCAGGATTCCTGAGATGCCCTGTCCAGCCAGAGGTGGGAGCTGGGATATCCCGGCCGTGGGAAACTGGATCTAGGACTGGAGGGCGGCGGGCAGACCGCAGCAAGGGCGTCTGGGTCCTTAGGATCCTCTGGGCTGGCCCAGGGACTTCTGCGGCCTGTTATTCCAATTTATACACCCTCCCCCCCCCCCCCCCCCCCCCCGCCAGGCAAGGGGTCACCTTGGAGGGCAACTGCGCTGCCTGGGTGGGGGTGGAGGGCCTCCTGCCGCTCCAGCGAGTGCTGTGGCCCCAAGCCCTTCCCAGGACAGGGGGCGCTCTGGGTGGGGGGGGGGGGAGGGGAGAGGCTCCGCAGCACCGGACTGGCTCTCCAGGGTTCGCGACCTGGAGCCCGGAGTGTAGCCCGGAGCCCTTCAGCCGCTCTCCTCTCGCGGAGGTTGGGAGCTGATGTCACCGGGACCCTGGGCGAGCGGGCGGGGCTCAGAGTGGCACCCAGACGCCAGGCGGTGCAGCGGCTCCAGACCAGCGGCTGCCTGTGGCTGCGTGGCAGGCGCAATGGCCAGGGCTAGGGAAGGATCCGTGAGTGCTGGGGCTGGGATGCGGAGGCCAGAGGAGGGGCCTTGAGGATGCCTGTCTATCTCCTCTCCCCGCCCCCCCCCCCCTAATACCCATTTGGGGTGTTTGTGGAAGAAGCTGGATGTAGAATGGGATGGGGCTTGGCACGCAGGGAAGCTTAGCAGAGGTGGACCGTGGCGCAGACAGACCTAGCGGGGCTTGGGGGAGCTGTGCAGTCTCGGCGAGCTTCCTGGTGGGAGAGGCTTTGGGACCGGGCTGGCTTGTTTCTGATGGGTCAGGAAGGGAAGCATGGACAGTGCTGAGGGAAGGGGTGATGAGAGTCTGGCCTCACACAGCGGCCCAGGGAAGAGGGGAGGAAGAGTTCCCAGGGAAGCCAGACTAGGCTTTTGGAAGCAGGGATTTAGCGTGCTCAGGTCTTGGAGACTTGAAGGCTGGAGCCACCAGGGACATGCAGGAGCACAGGGTGTGGAAGAGAGCTGGTGGGAGGGAGAAGGCAGGTTTGGGCTGGTCACGTTTCGCCCCTCTTCCAACCCAACGCCCCACCAGCTTGCCTCCTGAATGGACTGACCTATACTTGTACGGGGGTTGGTCCTCCACCTTCTCCGGAAACCTTCCCGTCACAGCCAGCAGCAACCAGGGTCTATTTAGTGTGAGCATGCTGATGCCATGACATAGCGTTTATGGAGCAGCCATTAATGTCTGCATCTCTCACCTCCCAGTAGGATTTAAAAAAAAAATTATATATATATATATATATATATATATATATATATATATATATATATATATATATTATTGATTTTTTACAGAGAGGAAGGGAGAGGGAGAGAGAGCCAGAAACATCAATGAGAGAGAAACATCGATCAGCTGCCTCCTGCACACCCCCTACTGGGGATGAGCCTGCAACCAAGGTATATGCCTTTGACGGGAATATAACCTGGGACCTTTCAGTCTGCAGGCTGACGCTCTATCCGCTGAGCCAAACTGGTTAGGGCTCCCAGTGGGATTTTATATGGAGCCTTGGACAGCACAAGGTTGGGTAAATGCTGCTGCTGCGGAAGTAGCATCATTAAAACCTGTATCCCCCTCCCCCCTTCACTGCGCCACGTGCTGGGCCCTGTGCCAGTGGTTTACCTTCCTGTCTCACTGGCTCCCCACAGCCCCCGGGGTGTGGGAGCGGTTTCCATCCTCACTTCACAGACGGGGAAACTGAGTCTCAGGGAGGTTAGTTAAATCGCCCAATTCTTTTTCAATAAGTTTCTTCCCAGCTTCTTAAGACTGGCAGGGCTGTGACTCAGACTCAGGTTGTCTTGTGTCAAACTGGTGCTCCCTCCTCTGCTGCGTGCCGAGCCCTCCAGGGCTCCTTTCTGAGGGAAGAAGCTTTCCTGAGAATCCTGGTGCCTCGCCTTGTACCTCCACTCTGGCCCTATGCACAGCCTGCTCAGTCCCTCACTCCCGACCTCCTGCTTTACCTGCCTTCCCAACCCCATGCCTTGCCTTTGTCTTCACCCTCTAAGCTCAGAGTGCCAGCAGGTGGCAGAACCCCTAATATGGGGTGTTGTATGGGGTGAACTCCGTAGGTGGTATACTCCTTCTCCACTGACCCCTTGCCAAGTAGATGGTCCCCTCCCCCAGAACGTGCGCCTTTGGGGTAACCCAGGATGGCCTTTACTGTCTGTGTCCGTTCCCTTTAGTTGGTGGTTTTCAGCCCTAGTTATAACTTAAAATCACTTGGGGGAATTGTCAAAAAAAAATGTGCATGCCCCACTCTTAAAGATCCTTATTCTGCAAGTCTGGCACTTTCTTCTTTTTTTAAGATTTAATTTTTTAATTAATTAATTATTTATTTTAAAATATATTTTATTTATTTTCCACAGAGAGGAAGGGAGAGGGATAGAGAGCTAGAAATGTCGATGAGAGAGAAACATCGACCAGCTGCCTCCTGCACACCCCCCACTGGGGATGTGTCCGCAACCAATGTACATGCCCTTGACCGGAATCGAACCTGGGACCCTTCAGTCCGTAGACTGACACTCTGTCCACTGAGCCAAACCGGTTTGGGCAAGATTTGTTTTTTTTTTTTAAAGCAACAATTTCCAATAGTATAGTAGTAAAGAAGGGTATATATGAGTAAAGTATCATAAACCTGTGTTCCATTCCTAGCTCCCAGCCCTGCAGCCACTATGTTATGCATCTCTATATCTGTGTGTGTATGTTTAGTACATAAATGGTAGCATGCTATAATACTGTTCTACTTTCTCACTTCATATACAGTGTATCCTCCCAAAAATGTATACACATTTTAACAGCTGATAGCTCAGTTTTGAAAATGAAATGTATTGTAAGAAACACTACCTTTATTATTATTCAAAGCGTGTGTACACACTTTTGGGGGACAATCCTGTATTTTGAAGATTGTTTCATTTATTTACATACTCTTAAAAAATATATTTTTATTGATTTTTTACAGAGAGGAACGGAGAGGGAGAGAGTTAGAAACATCAATGAGAGAGGAACATCAATCAGCTGCCACCTACAATGTGCCCACAACCAGTGTACATGCCCTTGACCGGAATCGAACCTGGGACCCCTCAGTCCACAGGCTGATGCTCTATCCACTGAGCCAAACCAACCAGGGCTATCTGCACACTCTTAATGTCTGCAATATTCCATGGTAGGGATGTGCTGTAACTTATTTATTTTTACCCATCCCATTTTTTAATTTGTCAATTACTGTTGACATTCAGTATTATTTTATATTAGTTTTATATGTACAGCATAGTGATTAGACATATAATTATGAAGTACCCCTCTCCCTCCACTCCCCCTCCCACCTCCATAAGTCTAGTGTGCTATAACTTATTTAGCCAATGCCCATTGAAGGACTTTTAATCTTCGTACTTTAAAACAATGCTGCAATGGATATGACTTGGCCCCATGTATAACAATAATACGCTCCTAGATATTGGATAGCTGGACCAAAGGATGTGAATTTGTAGTTTTCATAGATTTTTCCAACCATGCTCAAAAGATGCTGAAGACATGAATACTGCCCCCTTCAAAGGCATGAGGGCATCTGTATTTTTACAAAGCTGCTCTGGTTATTCTTGGACAGCTGAGGTGGAGATTCAACCCTTGCCCGTGAGGAACCTGAATCATAACTCTATCAGTTTCTCCTGGGCCCAAGCTCCGCTTGGGGATAGAGGGTGCTTCTGCCTGTTCCCTGACTGACGTGTCCTCATCCCTCTCCCCACTCTGGCTAGGACACCGAGTTGCAGAGAAAGCTGGACCACGAGATCCGCATGAGGGAAGGGGCCTGCAAGCTGCTGGCAGCCTGCTCCCAGCGTGAGCAGACCCTGGAGGCCACCAAGAGTCTGCTGGTGTGCAACAGCCGCATCCTCAGCTACATGGGCGAGCTGCAGCGGCGCAAGGAGGCGCAGGTGCTGGGGAAGAGTGGCCGGTGAGCAAGGGGAGCGCGGCCTCTGGAGGGTAGCAGTGCAGTGTGTGTGTGTGTGTGTGTGTGTGTGTGTATGGATGTGGACTCCCCTGGAGCTGACCTCTCCATGCCAGGCCTGGCAGAGTCCTTGATGTTTCACCACTGCCATGTGCTGCCCAGAGGTGTGCTTAGGGAGAAGCTGGGGCTGGACTCAGGAGAGCCAGGGTGTTTGGTGGGAGGATGGCAGTCTGAAGGGTAGTAATGAAAAAACACCAATCTGATGAAGCTGGCTGGCTGGCTTCTGGAAAGCCAATTTTCTCAGTCAGTTCACCAAATGGCCAATTTGCTACAACCTGATGATGATAGTTTATTGTATCTGGGGTTCACCATCAGAGGCAGAAATTGGGAAAGGAAATAATAAAAAAATAATTTAAGCCGAAACCTGTTTGGCTAAGTGGATAGAGTGTCGGCCTGCAGACTAAAAGGTCCCAGGTTCCATTCCCATCAAAGGTATGTACCTTTGTTGCTGGCACATCCCCAGTAAGGGGTGTGCAAGAGGCAGCTGATCGATGATTCTCTCTCATCGATGTTTCTAACTCTCTATCCCTCTCTCTTTCTCTCTGTAAAAAATCATTTTTAAAATATATTTTAAAAAATCATTTAATGGCCGAAGCCGGTTTGGCTCAGTGGTAGAGCCTCGATTTGCGGACTGAAAGGTCCTGGATTCGATTCCGGTCAAGGGCATGTACATTGGTTGCGGGCACACCCCCGGTGGGGGGTGTGCGGGAGGCAGCTGGTCGATGTTTCTCTCTCATCGACGTTTTTAGCTCTCTATCTCTCTCCCTTTCTCTCTGTTAAAAATCAATAAAATATAAAAAATAAAAAAAATCATTTAAGGGAAAGCCTGTCCCTTCACATAAATAAGATTGTGCATTCCAGAAGGGCTCAGCTTCTTTCTGGATGTGAGATCCAACCTAGACTAACATTGGACTCTGCTGATCTGAGTAACCTGTAGAGAAATGGTTGAAGGTGATGCTCTAGTGAAACTAAAATGCTTGAGAAAATATTTGGCAAGTTGATCATTCTAAGAATTGGCCATTTTTTTGTAAAGTGGTCATTTGTAAAATTGGCTTCTGGCGAAGTAATTTGCTGGCCCCCACAAGGGTGAGTGGGAGAAGGCCCCGGCTCAGCTATGAAGGCTGACCCAGGAGAGGTTGCCGGGAGCTCACCCAGGAAGCCACAGGGAGGGCAGAAAACCCGCTCTACGCCTGCCCCATTAAGCTAACGGAAGGGCAAGCAGGCGGGGGGACCGCTTCCACTAGGCGTTTGCTGTCTCCTGAGAGGCAGCCGTCTCTAGACTCTGCCCTGCTCATGGGCCTAGTGTGACTTGAGGTACACCCCGAGTCCCTGACAGCTAACCACATCAACATCAGTGCCACGTAATTCAGCTTAAGGCCCGACTACGTCACCGATGAGTTACATCACCGGCATGACGAACGAGTGTGGGTAATACTGATGCCTTCGTCACCTCGTGGGGACGTCCTCAGTGAGTCCTGACGATGGGTGGAGCGGGGAGAAAGGCTGGGTGTCTAGGACCCTGCAGTGGGGCACTGGGAAGGCACAGCCAGGATGGTAGAGGAGAACTCCAAACCGAGGGGAAGGAGAGAGGTTTGTGGTAAACAGAACACAAATGTTCCCTACTTGGGTTTTTTCCTTACATAAAACACTGGTCAGCTTGATTTTCCATTGAGTGCCCTCCTCTATCTAAGAAAGTTGAGATGAGGTGGTAGAGATGACTAGCCTCCCTCACTGTTAAAAGGAAAGCCTGGGGTTTAGTGGACAAGAGCCCTTAAAAAGGAGTCTCTTCCCGAAGCCGGTTTGGCTCAGTGGTAGAACATCGGTCTGCGGACTGAAAGGTCCCGGGTTCGATTCCGGTCAAGGGCATGTACATTGGTTGCGGACACATCCCCGGTGGGGGGTGTGCAGGAGGCAGCTGGTCAATGTTTCTCTCTCATCGACATTTCTAGCTCTCTATCTCTCTCCCTGCCTCTCTGTAAAAAATCAATTAAAATACATTAAAAGAAAAAAAAAAGGAGTCTTTCTGTGGACCCCTGTCCTCTCAGGCCCCACTGGTCCCTGGCAGGGTCTGCGGAGGTAATCAGGGAGGTGCTTGGAGCGGGGAGCCCAGAGCTTGTACTGTGTGTGAGCTAGTGTGCCTCTAGTGTCCCCAGCACCCCGTCCCTCAGCCCTGCAGTGCCAGCCTGGCTGGGGCTGCCGGGCTGGGCGTGGTGGGTGTTCCTGGAGCCCTTGGGAACCAGAGCCGGGGGTAGCGTGGGAAGGCCGGACTGGGACATTGTGATTTGCCCACAGGCCTTCTGACGGCGGCCGGCTGCTGGCTGAGCGCTCCCCCTGCCGAGGCCGCGTCTGCATCTCTGGTAAGAAGCACAGTTCCCTCAGCCCTGGCACTCCCTGCCCAGCCACCAGAGCTCCTGCCCCACTCGACACCTGTTCTCACCCCTCCACCCCTTAGACCTCCGGATCCCGCTCATGTGGAAGGACACAGAGTATTTCAAGAACAAAGGTGGTGAGTGTCGCTCACACTGGGACACGTTTAGGGGAGTGGCCCTAAGGGTGGAAGCTCCTGGGCGGCACTTTTTCCCCAACGGGTTTTCCTCCGTCCCCAGACCTGCACCGCTGGGCCGTGTTCCTGCTGCTGCAGCTTGGGGAGGACATTCAGGACACAGAGATGATCCTGGTGGACAGGACCCTCACGGACATCACCTTTCAGAACCATCTGCTCTTGTGAGTCCCTCATCAGAGCGGCTCTCCTCTCTCCCCCCTGCCCAGGGCTCTGGTAAGGTAGCTGCAGGGCGGGGCGAAGGGGGAGGAGGGGAGATGGGCCTTCCCAGTGGAGCTGTCCTGGACTCATACCACGTCCACCCTCCCCCCCACCCCTCCCTCGTGCCTCCCTGGACTTCGCCAGGACCATCCTCCTCTCTTCTCTCCACGTTCCCGTAGCACTGAGGCAGGGCCGGACTTCAGGCTGCGGCTGGAGCTGTACGGGGCCTGCCTGGAGGAGGACGGAGCCCTGGCCGGGGCCCCCAGGAGGCTCGCCACCAAACTCAGCAGCTCCCTGGGCCGCTCCTCTGGGAGGCGCGTCAGGGCGTCGCTGGAGAGCGCGGGCGGCTCAGCGAGCAGCCCGGTCCTGCTCCCCACCCCGGCTGTGGGGTAAGGCCATCTGTCCCCCCGCTGCCCTCCCATGCCTGTCCTGGCACAGGTGACCTCTGGGCGGCAGGGAGCTTGCAGAACCCACTCTGCACCGCAGCTGGGATGTACAGACAGACACAGATGAGCAATGGCCACGTGGAGGCACTCGGAGCTAGACCCAGCCAACTGATAACCAATAGGAGGACAGGGAGAGCTACGCCCTGGGTCTTCCTTTTTTTTTTTTTTTTTTTTTTTTTTTTTTTGCAGAGGCATTCGTGTGGATAGAACAGAGTGCCCTGGTTGGAGGAGGGTAGCAGGCTCTGTGGCGGTGCCTCCAGCAGTCTGGAAGCACCGTGTGGAATCCGGGGGCCCCGAGGAGCCATGTGGGAACATGTAGAGTAATGCATGCACAGAATGCTGGTTTTGGAGACATACCTGGGTTCAAATTCCAGCTCCACCACCTACCAATGGGCTATAGATTATGGGTACATTTTTTAGCCTCTATGCCTCAAGCTGCCTCATCTACTAACTAAAGAATGCCACCCACCTCCCGGGCTGTGGTGGGAACACAGTAGGATAACATACATAAAAAGCACAGGGCCTGGCGCTTAGCAGGAGGCAGTGAATGCTTGTTTCCCGCTCCCGTGGGGAAGGCAGGTTGGTTTTCTGTGTGGCTCTCTGAACAACGGGGCAGACCTGCTCAGCCCTATAGCGCCTGCCCTCTAATGCGTACACCTCACCTGGCTGAGGCCCACTTCTCTGCCTGTCCTGCAGGGGTCCCCGCTACCACCTCTTGGCTCACACCACGCTCACCCTGGCCGCAGTGCAAGATGGGTTCCGCACCCATGACCTCACTCTCGCCAGCCATGGTGAGTCTGAGGGTGGGGGGAGCACGCTGGAGGGTGAGAAGAGGGGCCTTTGGCTGGTCCCCTTCTCATTCCCCACCCGCCCTCTGCACTTCCTCTCTCCCAGAGGAGCACCCTGCCTGGCTGCCCCTCTATGGCAGTGTGTGTTGCCGCCTGGTGGCTCAGCCCCTCTGCATGACGCAGCCTACTGCCAGCGGCTCCCTCAGGGTGCAGGTGAGGGCCCCTGGGAGTGGAAGGGAGCACGGAGAAGGCAGCGGAGAGCCGGGTCACCTGGGAATTAGCACTACTGAAAGACCAAGGTCTGGGTGGGGGGAGGGGCATGGCCAGACAGGGGGCGGGCAGAAAGGGGCAGATTCCAATGGAGGGCTGGGCAGAAGGGTGCTGGGAGGGGTGATTCCCCAGGAAACCTTGGGTGTCTGTGCAGCAAGCTGGGGAGCGGCAGGACTGGGCACGAGTGCACGGAGTCCTGAAAGGCACGAACCTCCTCTGTTACCGGCAGCCTGAGGATGCAGATACGGGGAAAGAGCCGCTGTTTACTATCGCCATCAACAAGGTGACGGGTCCCCTGATGGTCAAGCCACCAGTGCGAGGCCTGGAGCCTCCCCTCCAGGTCCCACCAGGGTGGGTGCAGAGCTTAGAAAGACCAGTCTTCTGGGCCTCACAGCGTCACCTGGCTCCAGGGCCAGGGATGACGAGGGGCCATTCTCCCCGACCAGCATCCCTGGCAAAGGGCTGTCCCTTCTAGCTACCGGCCTCAGCCAGTCCTCAGAGAGGGTTCTGTAACCAGTTTAAGATTTCTCACCCACCTTCCATTTTTCCCCTCAGCTACTAATTTGCAGCTATTCCATCCTTTCCTGGTTTCCTCTCCCAGATCCAGTGCCCCCCTGTTCACCAGCCCTTTTGTTAGCTTTCCTGCTGACGTTTATGGAGGAAGCAGAGGGACATTAGGCCTCAGCATTCCTGCCAGCCTCTGTGCCTTCCCCTGCCCACCCGTTTCCCGTCTCTGTGTGCCTCTACCCCTGAGTGAAGTCCTTTCCTGCCATTCCTTCCCATTCAGCTCAGCAGGAGGCAAATGAGAGGGCTTGGTGAACACCCAACAAGCTTCTCTTTTTCTTTTTAACATATATTTATTGATTTCAGAGAGGAAGGGAGAAACATCAATGATGAGAATCATTGATCAGCTGCCTCCATCATACCCCCTACTGGGGATCAAGCCCACATGTATCCTTGACCGGAATTGAACCCGGGACCCTTCAATCTGCAGGCCTAGCTAGGCTCTATCCACTGAGCCAAACCCGTTAGGGCAAGCTCCTCTCTCTAAGGCAGGACGATCAGGCCCGCCTGAAGTCACTGCTGACCTCTGTAGCCAACGTGGAGGTGGAAGCGGATGCCTTTTCTCTCCTGCAGGACACTCGAGTCCAGGCAGGGGAACTGGACCAGACCACAGGCCGGCCCTTCACTCTGAGCATCAGTAACCGGTATGGGGAGGACAAGGTGACACACACCCTTCAGGCAGAGAGCCGGGGAGCCCTGCAGAGCTGGATGGAGGCTCTGTGGCAGCTGTTCTTCGACATGAGTAAGAGCAGAGGGCTGGACTGACCTTGGGGAGGGACTGGCGTTTGTTATTCCTTACCGTGGGCCTCTGTTTCAGGAATATGTGGAAGGAAAGGTAGCAGGGGAGAGGGCAGCCTGGCCCTCAGTCCTCTCCCTCTCCACCCCCAACCAGTGCTCTCCCTTCAGGCCGGTGGAAGCAGTGCTGTGATGAAATCATGAAAATTGAAACCCCAGCTCCCCGGAAACCCCCCCAGGCTCTGGCCAAGCAGCGGTCCCTGTACCATGAGATGGGTGAGTGAGAGTGTGTCTACTCCGGGACTGATGGGAAGTGGGCTGGCGGCTTCGAGGGAACACAGGTCATGGAAACAGACAGAAGGCACTTTGGGCTGAGCAGAGCTCTGGGACTCGAGTCCCAGCGAGTCCTGTTGTCCTTTTCTTTCCTCTGACCTTCTTAGAACCACTCCCACCAAAGTTCAAAACAAAACCCCAAAGGACCAGATTCATTTCATGGATTTCCTTCCTAATTTCTTCTTCTTTTGTTTCCCTTTCTGCATGCGGATTCCTGTCTCTTCCTCTGGCCTTTACTCGCCTGGCACTGCTTTCATTTCCCTTCTCTCTCGATATCTTCACCCACGTTCCCCCCTCCCAATCTGTGTCCACCTGCATGCTGTACCTCAGTCTTATCAGAGCCTGGAGCGCCAGGGGGCCCAGGGGAGGGGCTGCTCCTGCAGGATAATGCCATCTCGGCTGAGATCCGGGCTTTGCTCTCCTCCTATTACAGTGACAGGTGACGGTCAGGGCTGGGTAGACCTAAGCTCTGACTAGCCCCCTCCCCTCAACCCCTTCCTGGTGCCACAGCTATTGAGCCTCTGGATGACATCGCCGCAGTGACAGACATCCTGGCCCAGCGGGAGGGCGTGAGGCTGGAGACGACCCCACCCTGGCTAGCCATGTTTGCAGACCAGCCTGCCCTGCCTCGCCCCTGCTCGCCTGCCTCAGTGGCCCCAGCTCAGACCCACCCCCTGTCCTGGGGGCGCCCCAGAACATTCTCCCTGGACGCTGTGCCCCCAGACCACTCCGCTGAGGCCCCCCGCTTGGTCGCCCCTCTCCCCCCGCACCGATCCCCACGTTCTAGAGGCCTCGGCCGCAAAGGCTCCCCCCGCACGTGGCTCCAGTCCCCGGTGTGAGAACGGTGCTGGCAACGGGATCTGGCCAGGAGAGGAGAGGACCCGTGCACACTGGGCCCTGGGGGCGGCGCTGTCTGCAGCGGGCTGGCCGGCGTGGCCTCCCTTCCTCAGCTGGACTGGGGGTAGGTTGGGATGGGGAGCCGAGGCCCCTCTTCAGCTATGGTTGTCATGGTGCTGAGGGACTCATTCCCGGGGCTGGCTGGGACCCCCTGAACCCTTCCTGGGAGAAAACTGGAACCAACCCTGCCCTACCTCCTGCACTAACCAGCTTCGAGGATGGCACTGGAGAGCGCTGGGAAGGAACACGCCTTCCTTGTGACTCCATCAAGCATTAAAATTATTTAACAGCAGCCTTCAGCCTTCACCTGGCTCTTGACATCAGGCTGCCTCTCTGCTTGGTCTGGGCCTGCCCCGTCCCCTCTTCCCTGGAGCTTAGCTCGCCGGCTGTGAAAGATGGCTTTGGCACTGAGTAATCAGACACGGGCCAGGTGGAGGAGGCACTTTATAAACACCACAGGAGGAAAGGAGGGCTTCTGGTTCTCACGCACTGCTGAATCTCAGGATTTCGGTGAGGTCGTAGCCAGTCACAGCAAAGGAGCTGCCGGAGGGGTCACAGAACCGGGCACCACACAGCTGGGTGTCGGGCACACACTCCCCTTGACAGTGCTCCACCTGCGGAGGAGAGGGCTGCTCAGGGCCTGCTGCCCCACGCTGGCCCCGCCCCCCTCTCCACACCCACCTCGGTGCAGCCACTCTCCGTGCTTTTGCTCAGCTTCCAGATGTGTACAAAGGTGTCCTCGGCTGCAGAAAGGAGCTATTTAAAAAGGCAGGAGGATGAGTGGGAGTCAGAGGTGCTGACGAACTGGTCCAGGTTGGAGTGCTTCAAGTGACAAAGACAAGCCTGGGGGTTCCTCTCAACATCCCCGTCCTGGGAACCAGACTGACCTTGTCCACCCCCGGAGCCAGGTCCAGGGCACAGACGGCCCGGGCGTGGGCGTTGATCTGGACGTGCAGCGCTCCCGTATTGGCCTCGTACAGCCGCACTTGCCCGTTCCCGTAGCCCGCGGCCACGATCCCCTTCCACAGCTGCACGGAGTTACACGGGACCCTGCAAGGGCAACGCTCCACTTCGATCTCCCCACACCCGAGCCCACTCCCCCCCTGCAGCTGCTTCAGGAGGTCCTCAGCCCTTCTGCCTCACCTACCCGAATCCGGGAATCCGGGTCAGTAATTTGAATTCAGGACCTGACCACCAGACGCAAAGCAAGCCTGAGTCATCTGCTGTCACGACGTCAGCTATGCAGTCCTGAGGGGAAAGGCAGGGTCAGGCCTTCCCTCTCCCCTGCTGGGTCCTGTGTCCAGGGAAGGGAAGCAGTAGATGCATGGAGCCCTCACTCACTGGAAACAAGGTTCCCTCAGGAAGCACAGAATGCTTTCCTTGCATTTCTCACAGTCCCCCCACCCCTTCCCCGCCACACACGCACACACACACATACACACACGTGTTAGGAGGGATTATATAATTGTACTTGGTGGATGGATGATGCAACTGAGGCCACAGTGTGATGCCTTCTGGAGGTCTTATGGTAAGCCAGTCAATTATAACTAGGCTCGGCCTCGGCTCCAGCACTAGGCAGCCAACACAGCCCATGGGCCCAGCTCTGGGACAGATTCAGCAGAGTATGAATTAGAAATACAAACCCCGTTCTCAAAAGGTTTGCAACCCAAGAAGACAGCACCAATTCAGGGGTCAGCTAAGGGAGACGAGTGAGAGCTGGAAGAGGGGGAAGACTTCCTGGAGGGGGTGGTGCTGGAAGTGTAGGACTTGCCCAAGTCCAGAGAAGGAAGCTGTACATGTCAGAGCGGGAAAGCATCTTGGAAGCCATCTGTCCAACTCCTCAAGCATATGAGTACTGAGGAGTGTTAGTGAACTACTTAAATGCCACGTAAAACATCTCTAGCTTCGTCACGGGGCCTGAGGTTGCCGAAGCCTAGGAGAATGCAGCAGTTTGCCCGAAGTCACCCAGCTGCTTAGCGGCAGAGCCAAGACGTCATTCTGGTCTCCTGCCTCCCAAGGTGGGGAAGGACCCCAGGCTCACTGAATGGGAAGTGGTTTGCACTCACAGGTTCCTGGGCAGGCTGGCTGGCGATGTCTGTGACTGACGCGGGATGGGCCGCCAGCTCTTCACTCAGTACAATGTTGGGACCTTTGAGTGGGATGTCAAACACCAGTACCCGGCCCGACCACATTCCTACAAAAGCAGTGTGTCCTAGTCCTTCTGCCTCTCCCTCCAGCCACCACACTCAGAGCTCCCTCCGTCCCAGAAACCTTAGTAACAAACCCATCTCTTGCCAAAACCAGTTTGGCTCAGTGGATAGAGCATCGGACTGCGGACTGAAAGGTCCCGGTTCAGTTCCGGTCAAGGGCATGTACCTTGGTTGTGGGCACATCCCCAGTGTGGGTGTACAAGAGGCAGCTGGTCAATGTTTCTCTCTCATCGACGTTTCTAACTCTCTATCCCTCTCAATTCCTCTCTGTGTAAAATCAATAAAAATATATTAAAAACAAAACAAAAAAATCTCTCACTGCCCCAACAGTCCTGCTTCCTCCCCCCCGTGACTACCCTTATTCTACCTCACCCCACCCCTCTGAACCCGTCCATGGCTCTTTGGAGTCTCTGCCCCCCCTCACTTCCACCTTTCCCTTGAACCCTCCACAATTTCCTCAGACCTTCAGCATCTTCCAGACTGAAGCCCACCCCTTTATACCTCTGTACCCCATCCTCTCTCCCACCACACACACACACACACACACACACACACACACCAATGCCCTGTCCATGGGCCTCTCACCTACACAGATGAAATGGCCGCAGGAAGCAATCCCTCGGGCAAACACAGCCTGTGCTGAGTCTAAAGGGGGAAATTATTAGAAATAGTGCTTTTTCCAGCCCCAGCGAACACTCTCTACCCACACCCAACTCAGTCCTGCAGGTACCTGGAGAGGCATCTCGGGAGTCCAGTGCGTGCCAATAGACCATGACGGAGCCGTCAGACTCATACATCTGGAAGGCAAGGGCAGTGATGTCATGTATTCATGTTAGCCTTAGCCAGTGGTCGGCAAACCGCGGCTCGTGAATCACATGCAGCTCTTTGGCCCCTTGAGTGTGGCTCTTCCACAAAATACCACAGCCTGGGCGAGTCTATTTTGAAGAAGTGGCATTAGAAGAAGTTTAAGTTTAAAAAATTTGGCTCTCAAAAGAAATCCCCTTACTGAGGATATGCCTGCAACCAAAGTACATGCCCTTGACCGGAATCAAAACTGGGACCTTTCAGTCCGCAGGCCGACGCTCTATCCACTGAGCCAAACCGGTTTCGGCATAGGTACTACTTTTATTCCTACTTTACAGAGGAGGACAGAGGCTCTGATCAGTTCAACTGCCCAAGGTCACATTGCTCGCAAAGGGTCAGATATTAGAGAAGGTACTTGGGATTTTTTTATTTTTTATTCTTTTCAGAGAGAAGGGAGAGAGAGAGAGAAACATCAATGATGAGAGAGAATCTTTGCCTCCTCCACACCCTCTACCGGGGATGGAGCCACAACCCAGCATGTGCCCTTGACCGGAATCGAACCTGGGTCCCTTCAGTCCACAGGCCAATGCTCTATCCACTTAGCCAACCCAGCTAGGGCGGTACTTGGGAATTTAAAAAGATGGAAGGAGAACATTTGAGATCTTGCTCCCTGGCTTATGCTGTAAGTTTGGTTCAAACTCTTAAAAAAGTTTCAAAAAAATTTTAAAAAGATGGAAGGAACGAAGATGAGAAATAAGGAAGAGTGGGCTACATAAGCATGTGTAAAACTTGGGAGGGCTTAGAGGCCAGTGCGGAGGAGCCTTGGGTCCGTGGAGAGGAGCTGAGAAGGCTCTAGCCTGAGAGGGCAGGAAGGTCCTCCTCTTACCTGTATTCCTCGATGGGAGGTGAGCACCAGCAATACTCGAAAGGGGAGGACACACCAGTGGACCTGGAGGGAGGGGGATTAGAGTAGGGACAAGCGGTTAGCAAGAGACATGACTCGGAAGAGCAGAAATTCAGAGGGTTAGGGAAGGCTATTCCTTGAGGTTTGGAGAGAGAAGGGCGGGGTTAGGACTGGATTCAGCAACACCACTTCCAACCTCCTTCCTCACCTGGGTGATAAGTGGGGAGCTCACTCCAGGCCCCTCCTTAGCGTGGAGCTGGCGCTGGGCCAAGGGCACACCCTCAGGAGCAACGCTGAGAAGCTGGGCGCTGGGCCCGTGGACGACCGCGAAATGTGTGAGGTTGCAGACCGGCAGGTGCAGCACGCTGAGGTTGTTGCCCAGGGCGGCAGCCGAGCCTCTGAGAGGGATGGAACGCTCCCGGCGGAACATCCTGGGGGAGAGCCGCTCGAATCACCAAAAGCTGAGGGGTAAACAGAAGATGGCAATGATTCCCACCGGAGGGTGGCAGGTGCCCTCCCAAGACACTGGGGGAGACCCCTGAAACGGGGTCATGATGTCATGGGGAGACCCCTGAGCCTAGGTCAGGGACGGGGCTGGGGGATCTGGCTTGGAGCTGGGTCTCAAGGAGCGAGAGAGTGGAGGGAGCCCCAGGGCTGAGTCACGGACGCTGGGGGAACCCTGGAGGAGGGAGGAATGGTGATGGCACAGGACCCGGCGGCCCCAAGTGCCCGAGCCAAAGCGGGGTACGGCAGGGTAGTCTCTAGGCCCTTCCACCCTCGGGTCGGCTCCCCGAAGCCCCAGCCTGGGTGAGAGGTCACACCAGCAGCCCCGGGGCGGCTTGCCTGACTCCAGGGTCCCTAGGTCCCTCCGAATCCGCCGCCACCATAGAGACGACGCACTGACGCAGGCCGGTGGGCGGGGCGAACCACCGGAACCAGCAGCGCGGGGCGCGGTTGTCGGGGCAACGGCGGAGAGGACGAGCCAATCAGCGCACAGCGTGGTTGCCGGGGCGACCGTTAGGCG